AGTTCAGGTATCCTAAATAAGAGTATCCCTGCTTTGTCCAAACTTATAGAGAAGATAAGCAGCTTCCTTTTAAGGAAGATTTTAGTAACAACAGGGCTATCTCGGGCTTCCTGTTTTGAAATATAATTGTTTCTACATGTGCTCCCTCTACACATGCTCCCAACATGCACTTCTGCCAAGATACAATGCCATCCATCATCAGACATTCACCATAGGCTGAACCAATGGAACCGCCTGATTTTAGACTACAAACTTCCAAATCAGTTAGTCAAATAAAGCTTTTTGATAATAATAATTATTTTCATCTAAGAAAGGACAGGGGGCCGGAGAGATGGTCAGTGGAATAAGCACTTCCCTGGCAAGTGCAAGGGTCTGAGTTCAATCCCCGGTTCTGCAAAAAATAAATAAATAAATAAAAAACAAAGGACAGTACACCCTAAGCCTGCTTACACATTATAGATGTGGACAACTGTTAGATAATCTAGAATGTTGCAGAAGAGACCTATGTTTTGGAATTGCTAATCAGAGTTAAAAAGTACTATCATATCTTGTTTCAGAAAATTCTTTCCACAATTCTGGATTGCAAATTGAATTGCATGAGAACTGAATAAAATTTTCCCATAAAGCACAGAATATGCTTTGGTTCTCATCCAATTCAGTTTGTGACCAGAATTATGGAAAGAATTAAGACTATGAACTGAAGTACTACTGTGTCACCTCCACCCTGTTTCCCACTGATGTTATTATTATCACCGAATATTATTATCACCATAGCTCAGTTATAAAGCAAGTCATTCACCTTTTTTGGCTTTAACTGGCACTCAAAAATATCTCATACAATGCTTTAAGGAGGTTGTATCTTAAGTAACCTATAAATTCCTCTAATCTCTGGCATTTCTTGGTTTTAAGATAGATGAGCATTTCAGAACTGACCCAGCCTTAGGATCTTAGCTATAGCTTTGTTTCTATGCAGAATAGTTTCAAGTAGCCAACTTTAAAATCAACTTAATTATTTCAAGTTCAGGCTTTTGTATACCTCATAACATTCTGTCTGCAATTTTCCTATGTACCTTTATCAGTTCAAAAGAACACATTACAACTGGATGATATAATGAAATAAAACATTTCTTACTACCAACGGAATTTTTATAGTCATGTTGACATCTTAAACATTCTGATTAAAACAGGTAGTCTTTTCCTTTCCATTTCTTTCTTCCTCTCCTTCTTACAATTTAAAATGTCTTTATAAAGGAACTACTGGTGCTCAAACTCAGGATTTATAAATGCCATGGTGTGTCCAGGAGATGGAATTAGGCAGAGGGCACATGCTCCAAGACACCTCTGTTCCCCCTGCTTTCAGTGTCTTTACCTTGTGTAATCATTTTTCCTTGAGTTTGGGAGGGAGGGGCCTACAAAGGTGATAGACATTACTTCTGTGATTACAACGATAGGATTGCAATTTCCATGTTGACCCTTTCTCATCTTGGCTCTTGTGGACTTTAAGTTTCCATATACCCTGAGGTAGAAAAGTTTAGGTGATCAAAGTCAAAGACAGTTCATTATGGGTTATTCTGAAACATTTCATTAAAAGATTAGTAATGAGGCTCTCTTAAGTGTTTCAGATTCCAATTAGCAGACATAGAGAAAGAATAACACAGAGATAGAATCAATTGAATTATCATGGACAGTAATAAAACATCCTGATGAACAGTGAGAGAGGGCTAGATAGGTACAAGGAATGCAGATGGAGGAAGGTCTAAAACTGCACTAAGTGGACTCATCTTTGAACCTGCGGCACGCATCCTGCAATGGGCTGTTTGTATCACAGAAAGTTCTAGGACATTCACCATCACTGATATAGATAGTAGCACAAAAGGAAAACCTCTGAAGTAGGGAGGGAGCAAAATAAAGGTCCTGGAAGAATTTAATCTTATCACAGTGTATAGGATGGAGCAGATTAGAGTTAAGAAGACCAAGAATAGACATGCAAGCGTAACAGTCTTTCTGAGAGGCTGACAGTAGGAGGAAAGGTTCACACTCATTAATAATCAAAGACATGCAAATTAAAGTTATAAAGCACCACTCTTTGGTCTATCAACCTTAGTGGGAAAAAAAAAACTAATAATATTAGCAAAGATAAAGTAATCTCAGACACTGCTGGTGGGAATATAAATGGAAAAGTCTTTGAATGGAAAGTCATTGAACAATATATTACTAATAAAACATTCAGATCCTCAATTCACTAATTTATACTTCATAAGCACCTCCTAAAATAAATTTATTCACCTATTCAGTTAGAACTTAACTGAGTACTAGTGATGCTCCAGCTGTTGAGGAGGGCCCTAGAGATACGGCATTGAATAAAACAGGCTTCATTGCCTCTCTCAGGAGAGATACACTTTTCCTTTTCCCCTTCTCCCAATGCTGCAGATTGAACCCAGCAACTGCACATACTAAGTAAGAGCTCCATCTCTGAGCTGCATCCCCAAACTGAGAGGTGTACATTGTACAAATTATACATAAATGTACATTTATACATAAATGTACATTATACATAAATGTATATTCACATATGAGAAAATACTTTTACATTGTGAGATCAAAGAAAACCTCTCTGAGAAGAACAGTTATGCTGAGAACTGTATAAGTAGAATGTAGCCATTTAAAGAACAGAAGTTCTGTTTTATTTTTTCTAATAAAGGGAACAATTTTCATGAAGGTTGCTTTCACCCAAGATATTAGAGGATTCATTGACTGACTTATTCAACAAACATGAATGGAGAGCCCAGTAAGTCCTGGGGACTGTTATAGGGCTGAAGACAAAGACGTACAGAAAGTTTGGCCCTGACCTCACAGCGATCCCCCTGCCTCAGCCTCCTGTGTGCTGAGATTATAGGCATACATGCCTGACACAAAGTACAAAGAGATGGATGAGAAAGAAAGCCAATGTATTTGACAGGAAAAAAAAAAAAAAGATGAAATAAAGTTAACAATCACAGACTACAGCCTTCCAAATCCAAACACAGACTTACCTGAAAAAGTACGTTAAAAAATATTCATCGTAAATAATTTCCATTTACATGCAGATGGGTTAGCACTAAAACACTTATAAGGAAAAAAGTAGAGATCAAAAATAAATTTTAAACATTTATACAGGAGTTAAAGAGTAACTGTACTTAGGAAAGTACTTTCATTAAACAACAATGGCTTTCAACTATGCTAAGTAGTCAGAGAAAAACTACTACTTTCTTAGAATAATATGCAGTTCCTCTTTGCAAGAGGCCTAAGTATAAATACAATAATTCAAGAATTACTTTACTGGCTTGAACCACCATGCATGTGAAGAGTGACACACAAATCTTAGCATGAAGACATGCTTGAAGTCACTAGCAAGTTACAAAGGAAGCCATAAAAGCGACTGTAATGCGTGTGATCAGGACCTGAAGGAGTATGGTCCTTTTGCTCACATCTCTCCCATTAGGTAAATAATGATATTTTACATTTGGCATGTTTCAACTGCATTAAAAACTAAAAAATATTTTGTGGCACAGACACTACCTAAAAAAAAAAAAGGTATGGAACTCTACTATTCTTCCAACTTCTGAGTCCAAAACTGTTTCAAAGAGTAAACAAAAAAGATATGGACAGGGGCAGGGGAGATGGCTCAGTGGATTAAGCGCTTCCCTGGCAAGTGCAAGGGCCTGAGTTCAATCCCCAGTTCTGCCAAGAAAAAGGAAAAAAAAAAAAAAAAAAAAGATATGGGCAGTCTCGCTACAAGAAATAACATGAAATCTAAATTCTGTATTAACTTCATGAGGACACCATGAAACAATCACCCCAGCTGCTAAATATCCAACTTTCCCTTCTCTGGAGGAATGGAGGTACACATCAAGCAGGAAGCTCGGAGTCCGTCCCGGACGTTCTGCTGCCCACCAGCTGTGCGAATTTGGGGAAGGCCCTTGCATCTCGCTATGCCTCTGCTACAGCTCCCTCACAGGGTGGCATGTGCTTGTCAACTGTGGCATAAAACACACATACTCATTCCTGTTACTTAAAATGTTGTTGGACTATCTATATTAGTTTTTCTTTATTAAAGGTATGTTTATTTGAATTTCTTCAAGTTTGTGTAATAATCAAGTTAATCTTACAAAGGCTGATTTAACTCACATAAAATAACACATAGATATTTTAAATGGCTTTCCTGGAAAATGCTAGATATAACCTAAAATGGTTTCATCTATTTAGCATTTACCTATAAAGTATATTAGGCCTGCTACCTTAAAGTTAATTTTGTTAATTCTGAAGATCTGGTTCACCATTTAAAATATTCTAACAAGTTTTGATGGAGTATGAATATACAATTTCAACAATTATATTGGCATTACACATATTAAACGAAATACACTTTATACACATTAAAAATTAAGTAATAGCTCTCTTACAGAAAAAAGCAATTAATATAAGAATTTCATGAAATCCAAAAGATGAATATTGAGAACCCAAAAACAAATTTTGCAGTCTGACAAGGGAAAATGTGTCTTCTATAAAATTAGAAATTGATACTTATAAAGGATGCATCACATAATTTTATTATGTAATTTTAATGTTCCAATATTCATTATCACCGCTGTCTCCCATTACATATAATCTTAGGAAGAAAACATTATGTTAGTTTCTGAGTTAAAATTTAGTGCATTACTTGAAAGTTAATAGGGAAACAGTATATGAGTAATCCTCCTAAATCAATTCTTTATTCATTAAAACCTCAAGGTAGCCCATTATAAGATGGCAGCTAATTTTGTTTTCTGGAGAGTATATTTGTTGAAAGAAAACAGGAAAGATTCAAGTATACAGTTTAAAAAATACAAGCAAAAAACACCAACACAAGTCAGGTAAAAGTAATCAGTAGGTAATATCTTTAAAGCAGTAAGGAAAGCAGAACTTTCTCTGTGCTTCCTTCAAAGTTTCCATAGTGGTCAACATTCAGTAAAACTACTCACTTCCGGTGGGTGTGGTCCATGCCACTGTTTGGTATTGCTTCCAACTTTGCATTTTTCTGCCCACAGATATTTCCATAGCTGTCGTATCCTGACACTAGTCTTGCTGCTGCACCTGTTGCTACTGAAAAGCCACAAATAAATCCCTAGGGAAGAAACAGAAAGAAAAAAAAAAAAACACAAATAAACCATTTCAATAGCAACAGTCACTACTTGATACGATAATGAGTTTCTTTTGTCTGTTGAAGGGAACAAAGAGCTATCTTTCCTGAGAACACTATTCACTGTTTTTTCTGGGATTGCATATAAGCAGCACAAAGAAGCCCACAGGGAAATGCTATTTACTATTGTAACAAAACAGGACCCAAGTTTTACATCATAAGATGGTCTTTGCTTTTTATACTAGTAACAGCAGCTCTCTATATTGAACATCTGCCCTTCGCCAACCTCTGTACTATGTACTTTTCATACATTATCTCTAATCCTCATGATGCTGAAACAGGCCCAGAGATGTTAAATAAGTTAGGTAAGGCCACAGAAACTAGTAAAGATCAAGAGCATGGAAGCAACCTCCGCATTCTTTAATCTTCACTTTTACTTGCTTTTAAAGGAATTCTGTTAAATGAACAACAGCAGAGGATAAAAGAAAAAAAAATCTGAAGAACAATAGGTATACTGGATTGGAATCATTATCACTTCAGTGCACACAATACTTTCATTTCTTCTCTGCAATAAAGGTGTATACAAACCAAAGAATTGCATCATAAAGCACTGGCATGCTCTTAATCCTGGAGCCTAAAGGAGAGTTAGTGAGAAACTGGCTTTGTGCACTGCAGAGGTCATTTCATTTCATGGGAAAAGGGTTCATCTCAGTGGCAAAGGGAAATGGTAGATACTTCAAGACTACATCATGCTTTCTAAGTCACCTATGCACTGATCAAAATAAAGTAATACAAACCTACACTGGATCTCAGGTTACTGGGCATCAGAACCAGAAATAAGATGAAACACTACCAATAGACTGGTTGGACTGGGAGAAAAGACAGAGGTTAAGAAATACTGTGCAAAGTGGTTATTAATGGGTAAATTTTATCTTCAATAAAGTGGCTAAGAATACAGAGATTAGCACTGTTTACCTGATCACAGTCAGCGATCACAGTAGTTCTTTTCTGAATAGTGCTGCTGCTCATAGGCTGCAGTGATAAATACCATACTCACATATAATTCCCCAAAGGACAGCATTTCACCCTCAAGTGTACTTACCTAAAAAGCGAAACATTTTTGTAAACAATCCTACTTTCACCGTGCAAGTAAGAAAGGTGAGAGAGAAGAGAGCCTATCTCTAGCCAGTAGAAGCTTCTTATAACTATACGTTGTGAGACTACGAGCTTTGGGTTCAGATAAATCAGTGTTATCAACAGAATACTGATGACTCCATCTTTCTGCTCATGTGACCTTGGACAAACTTCTTTAATGTTCTGGGCTTCAGTTTATCCATCGATAAATTGGGGCTGAACCCACTTACCCAGAGGCTGGTATGAGAGTTATAATATTAGTACTCCTCTGCCTCAAAGCAACAGCTGTCTTGGGGCACTCAGGTCAGTACAAAGAAGGCCATGCACAGCTAGTGAGTACTCATTCCCTCACACCACTCTGTTGTCCCTCTTCCTCCTGACTCCTCTAAAGACCGTGTAGAGCAATCAGTCCCACCTTGGAATTCCAACACAATAGGTGCAAAGCAAATCAGGACACCATTTAAAAAATATGCCTGAACCCCAAAGTAGGAAACTCTGCACTAAGGACAACCTGGAGAGAGAAATATCAGGAAATTCTAATAGCTAAATTTCTCCTGTAGTGGATGTGAATGCCTCCAAGGGCCCATGTTAAAGTCTTGGTCCCCTGCTGAAGGCACTGTTGGGAAGCAGTAAAACCTTTGAGAGATAGACCTAGTGGATATAGTGTCCAGGAGAGTGGGCACATGCCTTTAGTGGGCACATGCGGAATCCTGGCCCCATCCTTTTCCTCTCTTGACTCTGACGTGACTATTTTTGTTCTACTGTGTGCTTTTACCACAATATGTCACCCTTTTCGCCAAAAGCAATGAGGTGAACTGATCATGTTCTGAAACCTCCAAAACTGAAGCAAATAAATTTTTTCTCTTTTTAACTTTACTATCTAGGGTACGCATCATAGTAGTGGAAGACTAATACACTTTCTAACACATTTCTTTAATAGAAAACATCAAGGAATAATAGAAAGAGAATGGACTTAGTATCCAGTAAGGCCTGCATTCAAACTATCACTTACCACCTGTGCAATTTTGATCCAAGTACTACACAGAATCTGTTCCCTACTCATTTCTAACACAGAGTAATACCATCTACCTCATGGTCTAACAGTGGAGACTAAATGAGGTAACTTGTATCCAATCCCCAGCTGAATGCCTACTACATGGCAAGTAATCAATAAATGATAGCTGTTCGTGGTAAATCTGAATGAAAAAGGTCAGTAATGGTAATAGGAAACAAAACAAAACAAAACAAAAAACCACACACACACTTTAGTTTTTTATTTTAGAAAGAAAATTTCTAGGGGAACAAAGTAAGAAACAATGTCAGTAATTCTGTCATTATAGAAAACTATTTCCAGACCACAACTACAATCTTCTTTCATTACCAGTGTAGAACAGCAGAATTCTATACTTGTAATGTCACATAATTAAAAGGTTATGTTCTTCTTTCATTTTTTCAAAGGAATTTTTTCTTATGTTTGATAAGTACATTGTATTACTAAACTCTTTAAATAGTTTCTGGTTTCCCTTTCTGACTATTTTTAACAGTACAAATGGACATGTGGGTGTTTTTCTTTATCATAAGCCACATCCTGTCCCTCTGGGATATCGGCAAAGTATAACTTATAAATGTTACATATGTGTACTAAATGGGACACTGACATACTTTACGTAGGTCACTTTAACTTCTTAGTAGCTTCCAGAAGCATTAGCGAGGATGAGAAGCTATAGGAGGAAGAAAGAACAGTAAGCTAATAAGATGGGAAGGAACCATGACTATTATTCTAGGGACTTTCCATATGGTGCAAATACTAACAGTGGGGAACTAGGCCAAATATAATCAAAATTACAATCTTCTTAAAAAGGAAAATGCTAAAATCCAAATTCAGGAAGCAATATAGTTTCAGAAGAGAAAAAATTCAGTACATGAAATTAAAATAGGGTGAGAAAACTTTACTAAATACAATCAATAATATAATGGCTCCACATAGAGGAGAAAGAAACTACCTTAACAAAGCAAATGATAAGGATGATGAATAAAGCTTTTATAAAGATGGAATAGGAAGCAATCTCTAGCAAGAAAGTAAGCCTATTGGTACAGAGAATGATGGCTAAAATCTTAAAATGCCTGACCTACTGAAGTACTTTTAATGCTGCTACTGTAAGGCAGAGAAGAGCTGAAACAGCCACTCATAAGCAGAGGTGATTCAAATCAGATAAAAACATAGAGGGATGGTGAATCACAGGCAAGACCTGGCAGTAACCAGTACTTATTGCTTACGTGGGAAAAACATAATGTGCTAAGAAACTATACTTATTTTCTCTTCCTTATGTAGGGTGCAGTTCTACTTAACAGCCTTGGTTTAATTTTATTCATGATTAATCAAAAAGGCAAATTTTTATTTTACCAGCATATTTGAATTTCATACCTAGAATAAACAATTCTCAAGGCAGATGACCTCTAGCTGAGGCATCAACAAAAACATGTATGGGGATATGAAGTACTGTAAATACTATAAAATAAAAAGATGGGGATGGAGTGAATGATGGTTATAGTAATTTGCCAGGAATTAATAAAAACATATTCCAGCAATCTTTATCTCAAGCACAATCTCATTTACACTGTACCTCAATCATGCTTGGGGTCAGTAATTGATTGGTAAAAACTCAAGGCAACACTTGACTTCTGTTCCTCTTTTTTTGACAATTCTGAAACAGAAGGTACTAGGACCCAACTGGTAAGATTAGTGGATTAGCTTGGAGCAGAAATTATGTTTGTGCCATCAAACAAACAAACAATAAATATTTTTGTCAGTGTACCAAATCTCTGGATTCCCTTAAGATTTATTATAATGTATTGCTCTAAAGTAAGGAAAGAAAAAGAAAAAAGAAATTAAAGCCAAGGAAATACCTACTTTCTAGTATTTACCCTGAAAGAATGGAAACATTGTCAAAAGAGAGAAAAATAATGGGACATGAGGGGGCAAAAGCAGAAAGTCTCAAGTTTCATGGACAGTCAGAACAAAGAAAAACAAACAAGAAAAAAAAAAAGCATGGAAAGTAATATTGAGAACTGATCTGGCTTTGCTTCAAATATGCCTTATGATCTTAGGCAAGTAACTGATTCTCTGAGCCTATTTCCTTACTGGTCCAAAGGTCAGGCTTGAGTATTCTCTCAAGCCATTCTTTTTCCTAAAGTTTATGATTCCAAGGGAAAAGTGACACACAACAAGATTTTAAAGAACATACCCACAAGAAGTATAAACTAAGTTGGTTTATTACAGTGACTAAGGAAAAAAAAAGAAAATGTAGATTAAGAACAAATGGATTTAACTGAATTGTAAACTTCAAAATGCTTAAAACAATCACTTGTATGCTATAGATATTTTACACAATGAAAAAAGAAATGGATTTAACAAAAAGTAGGTAGTTCTTTGAATCAATTACAGTTAGTAATTTTTGGCATGCTGTTCTCCCTGTTCTAAGAGTCTAGCAAAGAACAGACCATCAAATAGGTGACTAAATACTGCAGTGAATCTCACTCTGTGCTGCACACTCAACTGCAGTTAATGAGGTAGAAACATCATGCCCCAGGAACTAGACTAATGCTATGAAATAAAAAGGTCCTTGAAAGCTGTCTAAAGGGACAACCTATTCAATGTCTCCCAAACTAGCTTTAGTCAAGATCATTCTTCAAAACCCCAACCCTGAATTTTCAGCTTATCTTCATCCACAAATTCTATATGTTCATCCTACATTTCCTCAAACCATTTCCCTTGCCTGCATATACTCTATTGCTATGAGCATATCTAGTAGGCTACACATAAGACTCAGAAAGGGAGTACTCTGGTTTCT